GACAAGAATGTGTACAAATGGTGGGCACAGTATCTTGAGAGCCAGTCGGACATGGATGCAGCACTACGCTACTATGAGTTGGCTCAGGATTACCTCTCTCTTGTTCGAGTTTTCTGCTACATGGGAAATATTCAGAAAGCGTCTGAGATTGCCAACGACACAGGGGATAGGGCAGCATCCTACCACCTGGCCCGGCACTATGAGGGACATGACGATATCAAACAGGCTGTTCACTTCTACACACGAGCTCAGGCGTACAACAATGCCATACGGCTTTGTAAGGAGAACAGTCTGGACGACCAGCTGATGAACCTAGCTCTCCTCAGTAACCCAGAGGATATGATGGAGGCTGCCCGTTACTATGAGGAGAAAGGGACACATATGGACCGAGCAGTGGCTCTTTACCACAAGGCTGGTTATGTGTCAAAAGCCCTGGAGCTGGCCTTTGCCACAGAACAGTTCTCTGCTCTGCAGCTCATTGCAGAGGGTCTGAAAGAGGGCTCAGACCCCGCGCTGCTGGCACGCTGCTCTGACTTCTTTATTACACATGCCCATTATGAAAAGGCTGTGGAGCTATTGGTAGCAGCTAAGAAGTATCAGGAGGCACTGGAGCTGTGTGTGAGCCAGAACCTGGACGTCTCAGAGGAGCTAGCAGAGAAGATGACTGTGACCGAGTCAAAAGACATGTCTGAGGAGGCCAGGAAGGAGCTGCTGGAGAGGATAGCAGACTGCTGTATGCGACAGGGCAACTACCACCTAGCAACCAAAAAGTACACGCAAGCAGGGAATAAGCTAAAGGCTATGAGGGCTCTTCTCAAATCTGGTGACACAGAGAAAATCGTATTCTTTGCCAATGTTTGTCGTCAAAAAGACCTTTTTATTTTGGCCGCAAACTATCTTCAGTCTCTGGACTGGCGCACAGATCCGGAAATTCTCAAAACTATCATTGGTTTCTACACTAAAGGCAGAGCGCCAGAGCTGTTAGCGGGCTTCTATGAAGCCTGTGCACAGGTGGAAATAGACGATTACCAAAACTATGAAAAAGCACTTGATGCTCTGACTGAGGCCTATAAGTGCCTTTCAAAAGCGAAGGATACTTCTGGGAAACAGGAAGTCAAACTGTCAAACATGCAACACAAAATCACTTTAATCAAGAAGTTTGTCCATGTGCGCAGGTTGTATGTGGAGAACGCTGCAGAGGCTGTGCGTGTTTGTGAAGCCCTGTTAGAAGAGCCGGACTTAGACCCAGCTGTCAGAGTGGGGGATGCTTTTGGTTTCTTGGTGGATCACTACTGTCAGCAGGGCCAGTACCAAGTGGGATACCGCAGGTTAGAAGAGTTACAAAAACTGTTGCCGTCCCAAAACCTGCGGTACTACATCAACCCAACCAGTCTGGAGGCCCTGCAGAGAGAGATGGGCGTGATCCTAGACCACTCAGAACAGAAAGTGATCATGAAAGATGACGACGAGGTCATGGAAGAGTTAAATGAATCTCACTCATGACTTGTGACTTTTAGTTTTTATTTTATATTCGTGACTTCATCCTCCAGAGTGAATAAACAATGTGACAGCTGTCAGTGTAGTTGAGGTATTTCTGGTAAACTTTAAACTGACAGAAAAAGTGCTATCTCTACACATAATCTTATTTCATGAATACATTTGTTGAGTATACCATAACCCTAACCCTAACCCTAACCCTAACCCTAACCCTAACCAGAGGCTCAACCTAAACCAGACAACGCTGAAAGCCGATAATGACAGAGGTTGATGCGAGGAGTAAACGATTCCATTTATAATCAATGTTCTGCCTCTAAACCTTACCCATAATCACCGTTACGTTCGACAGAACAGTGGTAACAGAAATCAGTTGATTATGGGATTATAGTTCCGCATCAGTAGTTTGACCCCAAGCGTGGTCAGATAATTTTCCAATTGTGAATGATCTTGTCCAGAAGTGGACTGCTGCGTAGGATGTGTGTCCTCGCGTGACGTCTGTGGCGGGGTCCGTACCCAGGCCAACATTTCCGTGACCTTAGCGACCCCTCCTCCAATTCTTGTACAGGGGAAGAAGGGACCGGCTCAGGGACAACAGAGGAAGCAACAGGGACCAAATTAATTCTCGGGACTTTAGAAATCTTAACAATATCCGTATCCAAGAGATGTTCAGGGGCAACCACCGGATTCCTAACAGTCAAGTTGCGGGCAGGTGCTCTGCGCGGAGGCCTCTGCTCCAAAGGAGGAGCCACAGGAATGGACTGGTCCTGCGGCTGTGTCCAAGCCGGAGGCTCGTGTATCATCGCTGCAGTAACTGTTTGTGTGTGGGGCAACTCTCGTGGTGCTTGTGCTGACTCCAAAACCAATAAATCCTGCCGTTGTTCTGACCGTGTGAAATCTCTGAGCAAAGTTTCTGCCTGATCTATCACTTCTCAAGAAATGTTGGGAACATTTTTTCTGGCCCATCTCGTTGCAATGTGGAAAGCGTGCGACCAATCCTGCGGGGGATTCTGCGTCAGTTCAGCAACTATTTGGTCAACTTGTAACTGACAATGTTCTTGGAGTATTTGCAGAGTAGTGTATCCCCAATTCTTCGCGTTTCCCACAATCAAATCAAGTGTACGAGACGTGGGTAAAGCAGGCCGAATTCCCATAATCAAACTACGCACTGTACGAGAAATCATCACCAGTTGTTCTTCTTCAGTCTGTCCAGAAACTCTACTCAGATGATGCAAAACTTTCAGGAGAGAATGCAGCTGTCTAATCAAAATTCCTAACTGCTTATCAGCTGGTTGATAAGGATGACGTTGAAATTGTTCACGAGGAGGGAACAATTGTTTATCCCCTCTATAAGGTCTCAGCTGTTGTCCCTGAGCCCCCCGTGCACTAAAAGCTGCATAATATCTCGGTGAATACGGCAAGTCGTCACAATCGTCACAAAGTAATTCAAAGTGCTTGAAAAGTCTTAAAATCATCCAAATCGCATCGAAGATTAAAATAAAAAAAGAAGACATAAATTGGAGAGAAGAGTGCGAATGAAAACCTTTCAGTTATATGCACAGAAACAGAAATGTTTAGAGTCTGGATTTTAAACAGCGTCACAGAAGAGTCTGTCTCACATGTTCAGACTGTTCCAGGTTTTAGCTGCATGAACCTGAAACTCTGACTCCCCTTGTTTAGTCGTGACTCTGGGCACCAGCAGGAGGTCGTCCCTGAGCTCCTCAGAGTGTGAGATGTTCATATGACACTAAACATGTCACAGATGGACTTTGGTGCTCGGCCAGGAGACACTTGTACACAAGCAGGCTGTTTAAAGTCTATTCTCAGCAAGGAGCCAGCAGAGACCTGAGCAGGACTTATGTGCTCTCTTCCTAGTTCGAGAAGGACCCGAGCTGCAGCGTTCTGGATGTTCTGGATGTTGTGGATGTTCTGGATGTTCTGGATGTTCTGCAGCGTCTCACAGCTCGTTTGGAGGACCAGTGAGCAGAACATTACAGTATCCCTGGAGACACGCATGGATAAGTTTCCCAAGTCTGATTTAGACAGTAAACCTTTGATTTTTGCTAGTTTTTTAGCTGCAGATGTTATTGATTTGATGTGACTGTTAAAGTTCAAGTCTGAGTCCATTATACCCCTAGATTCTTGCCTGATTTGAAGGTTTAGAGCGAGAGACTGGAGGGATGCTGACACTGCCCTTTGTTTTCTGTGGACCACACTTGACTTCAGTCTTGTCAGAGTTTAGCTGGAGAAAGTTGTTTTGCATCCACACACTATCTTTGGATATGACCAAGTGACTCCACTGTCCATAGTCCCTGCTGCCAGGAGACGTAGATCGGTGCGGATAATTGCGACACGTTATTGCTGCTTATAACTCCTAATGGCACATTAGGATTGAACAACAGGGGGCCAGGATCCCCTGAGGCACCCCACAGGTCAGGGCCATGTCATCTGAGACACAGTTTCCAATTTCAACAAAATACTTCCTGCTTCTAGATACTTGAACCAGTTTAACAGCCAGAGATGCCCACCCAGTCCAGCTCTGGCCCGGCGCCACTCAGACCGTCGACTGGACTTTGGCATCAGCCGTCACAAAGACAGTCTCATCTCCATATAAATCAAAGGAGTTTATCATTTTTCAATAAACAGCTTTTTCAAGGACTTTGCCAAAAAAACGGCTTTTGGGTCTTTTTGTTGTGGCATCAAGACTTTTTTTAAAAATTTTTTTTTGTTTTTTTTTTTTTTAGAAAAAATAAAAATTAAAAAACAAAAACAAAACTAAAAAATGGTGCCTCCAGGAAAACGTTTCAGGCTGTAGTCAGCCCTTCCTCAGCTCCGAGGCACAGCAACAAAAGAAAAGGGGAGACGTGTTGCTCCACCAAGCGTCAGCCAAATAATGAGGAGCAGAGCCTGTGCGCGCAGGACAAGGGAGCAGAAAGGGAGGGGCCGAGCGGGCATGCCTCAACAACTCACCCGTCCCTGCCCTCTGTTTTTATTATTTTTTTATTATTTTTATTATTATTGTTTCTTTTCTATAAAATAAACCCTGTAAAACCTATAACTATATACAAAATATAAAATATAAAATATACAAAATAGGGAAAGGTGGCTTGGCGGGAGGCAGTTCAGTCCAGGTCAGGGTTAGGGTTAGGGTTAGTAACATCGTCATAAACCCATCCCCAGCCGGGAACGGGTGGAGCACGGGCTCTCGCACGGGTGGCGGCCCTCCGACCCCCACTGCTAAAACGGCGCGGACCCAGCCCACGGGCCCGGCGTCCAGACTGTCTGGACTGGACAGACGTCCAACCAGACTCCATTTTTGTTAATTTTCTATATTTTTTTGGTCTTTTGTTTTTTTATATTTTTTTGTTCTTTTTTTGCTTTTTTTTAAGAAAAACAAATAAATAATAAAATCAAAAAACTAAAAATGGTGCCTCAGGACTTTTTTTATTTTTTATTTATTTATTTTTTTTACACTATAAAAACAAAAGCTGATTTAGTTTATTTTTTTACAGTTTAGTCCAGTTTAAGGGGTTGTTGTTCATCAAATACTCCGCCAGGAAGTGGACAGGGTCTTGTGGCTGAGCGGAGCAGCAGGCCAGCAGGCCCTGGGACAGAGTGGGCATCACATGCTCCATCAGGTAACTCCTCATCTGTGCTGTCTCAGCCTCCAGAAGATCCTCCTCCTCACGACGCAACTGCTCCACAGACCTGGACCATTCCTCCCAGCGGGCAGCTCTCTCTCTGGCCTCCTCTGCCTCTCTCTTCTCCTCTTCTTCTTTCCTCTGTGCCTCACTCCTCTGTTTCTCCTCCATCTTTTTCCACTCCTCCTCCTCCATCTCTTCGATGGTGGGGCTGTAATTTCGAGATGGACCTACAGTTTCAATGATCTTCTCCAACAGATGCAAACAGCTGGGTTCATCCTTGCTTGTGATTTCCAAGTTCAAAGTGGTGATGTTAAACTCGTCGTAGAAGTCGCTGACAGTGGAGTCTTCACTGTTCCTATGTCTGTATCGGCTCAGTCTCTTCAGGAAGAGCTCCGGTTCATAGCTGTTCTTCTCCACCTCCGTCTCTGGCAGGTTTATAACTCGTTCTTTCAAAAACAAATCGGAGGCATCGAGGACAAACACAAACTCTGGCAGTATCTTGTTGGAGACTGTTTCATCCTCTTCTTCCTCATCATTTTCATAGAGTTCTTTCACTTGGTCATAAGTTTTGGGGAATCCATCCAAAACAAAGCCTTGGTTCTGGCAGGGTTTGGTCATCAGTTTGTCCCTCATCACTTTCAGCAGCAGGTGCTCTTCCAAAAAACCTTCATTCTGCTCCATACTTTCAGTGAGACTGTTGAGCAGCTCCTGGGCGTCTGCTGTGCTGTTCGTCTCCACTGAAGGATCTTTATTCACTGTTTCTTTCAGTTTATCAAGGGTCTGTGTAATGGTTGGCTTCAGTTTGACATGATGAAGTTTGTAGTGATTGCAGATAATTTTAGACAGAGTGCTCTTCCCAACAGCAGGGGGCCCCATAACACAAATGCGGATGGGCTGTAGTCCTCTGTATTGTCTGTATTCTTGAACTACTTGACCAATGTTTTCCACCAGTCCTTTCTCACACTGCCAAGAAATAGACAGCAGCTCTTTCAAATGGGCCGACTCCATTCTCAAATTCACCGTCATGTAGTCAATTTCCATGACAGTGATTTCTCGTATAAGGTAGGCCTCCTCGAGTGGTATTTTCTTGATAATTCCTGGTCCAAGTTCATTAGAAATTGCCTGTACAATCTCCTCCATAGTGTGACTGGAATAGTCGACAGCCAAAAGGTAGTATGGGCTTGGGCGGTGTTCAATCACATTCTGTATAACACTTGCTAGGTCATTGATGTGGATTGTGGGAACGATGTTGGTGCCATCTCCAAAAACAGGAACTTCAGCTTTCAGTCCCTCCCATGATGTCTTGAAAAAGTAATGAAAGATCTGCTCTCCCATTCCATACTGCATTCCCGACACCACCACATAAGTAGAGAACATGTGTTTATTTGTTTTTCCCAATTGAACCACTCTCTTCTCCAGATCATTGTGAGCTCTGAAGTTTGCATGTGGTCTTCGCCGACGGAAATCTTCATCAGTGAAAGGCTTCTCCTCATCCTCTGGATCAATGGGTTTTCTGCAGGCCCAGGTCATGACTGTGGACACAAGGATGAACATCTTTGGCCCAGTGAAATTGTCCAACTCATTGTGAAGGGTTGCAACAGCCCAGAAAGCCTCGTCCACTTGGTCCTGGTGTTGAGTAATGTTATAAACAATTACATTACAGTCTAGAAGTTTGGGTAGAAGCTCCTCCCTTTTCAGCTGATAGTACTGCTCCAACACATAATCTCTGTTCTCCTGTGGTTCTTCAGAGACAGTTCCCACTATCTCAAAGGCTTTTTCTTTATTAATATTGGTGTCCACTGACTCCTCCTCCTCTTCATCCTCACTATGAGCTCCAACAACGCATTCAGACAGAAACTTTGATATATATTTAGATGAGTAGGAGTCGATGTTGTTGATGAAAACCCGTTTTAGTGACGACTTTCTTTCTTCCATAATCTATTTATTACGTTAGTTTATTCCTGGTTTAGCGGCTGTTAGTAACTTAGCGTCCCGTTGTTATGGTGACAGGGGAGGGAACTGTTGCTATGGTGCCAATGATGTTCATTTTGTCTTCTTATATACTTTAACTTCTTAGGTTCTTTTTAAAGACAATGCAGTAAAGTAAACACACTTTACTGCATTGTCTTTAAAAAGAACCTAAGAAGTCAATGTCGCTATGGTGATTGCAGCTGGTCTCGGCGTGTCGCTCATATGTGAATTTGTGTCCAATTTTAATTTAGTTTAATAATTTTACATGAATCTGCGAATGAAGAATGAGACTACTTTTACCAACTTAAAAAAAAAAAAAAAAAAAAAGACAAGTTGAGGAGTTTATATATGAGAAAATATNCCGCCCCTGAGCCTCGGCTACATCTTCTTCCTGTCTTTGCATCTGTTCCTTGAGATTTTGCAATAATTTGGTCAACTCATTTACTTTGGCTGTGGCTGTCCGTAATTCAGCCTTAGACTGCCTGTTGTAACTCTGTAGCTCCTCCATCTCGGTTGTCTGCTCAGTTAAAGTCTTCAGAAACTGCTGGTTGGTCATTTCCAGCTTCTGATTGTCCAGTAGGAGCTTTTGTGTTTGTCTCTGTAACTGGACAAGCTGATCTGTGGGCTGCTTCTTTTGGGCATCATGCATCTGTGTGTCAGAAACAAACTTCTGATGGATCTGCTGAAGACGATCTAGCTCCTGAGAGGTTGTCTGCCACAACTCCATGGCCTGCCCTCGCTCCTGTTCAGACAACTGTATCTGCTCCTGGAGGTTTTTGATGATGGTTTCCTCCTCCACTGTACTGCTCTCTGCTGCTGAGGACACTGGGATGGCATGTAACTGCCTCTCCACTGACTCTCTGAGCTCAGTGTGCAGCCTTTCGTTCTCCTTGACAACTCTGTCCAACTTGACTTTTATGTCTGCCATTTGTACCTGGAATTTCTGTAGCTGTCCCATCATTTCCTCTATGTGACGATCATATTCATCGATCAAGGGAGCCATTATACTCCTGTCAGTAATCCAGGGAGTGGTGGGTTGTGCTTGTGCTTCCACTTCACCCTGTGCCGAGACTTGAGGGTT